TGGGTAAGTTGGTATTGGTATTTGAGAAAATTCTATTCGAATCTATTTAATTTAATGTAATTAGTGCATTTAATGTATTTGTATTGTATTATTGAATTAATTTTTGTTAAAAAAAATATATGAAATAAGTGGGATATAATAATGAATGATAAATAAAATGATAAATAGAATGATAAATAAAATGATAAATAGAATGATGAATAAAATGATAAATAGAATGATGAATAAAATGATAAATAGAACGATGAATAAAATGATAAATAGAATGATAAATAAAAAAAATAATATATACATTATAAATTTTTTTCTTACCTCCAAACTAAATCGATTTGAAAGATCGTCACTTATTGCCACAGGAATAAGTTCATGCCATCGTTTACAAGTTCTCCTAATTTTCCACAAATGTTTATAACTGTTGAAAAAACAAGAATATTATAAATTAAGCTTAACCAGAAATGAATTCATTGAATGAATTACGAAAAAAAAAAGAATAATTATTTACTTATTTTGATCGCGTATACTCTTAAACACTTTTAATAATAATTCGTTTGGTAAACTTGAAATCATCTTTTTTATATATATATATATATATATATATATATATATATTAAAATAATTCTAATTTTCAAAAATTTATAAAAAAGTTATTTATTTATATATATAATAATAATAAAATAAAAAAACGGAAAATTTTTTTTTAAGTTTATAGAAATTGAAAATTTTAAAGGGGGGATAAGATCATAATAATGCTCGAGTAAAATAGGTAAAATCAAATGGATTTATAATTTTACATTTACACGAACCTTGATAAGAAACAATTACACAGACCTCATGATTTGCATCGATTTTAATATCATATGATTAAAAATAAAATTGACTGGGAATACAAAGACTAAGTTAATCATACTTTCCAAGTACGTAGGCACAGTACGTACGTACGTATTATACGTAGGTAAGTACGGCCGTACGGTACATACGGTGCGTTTTGTATAAAAACTTTATATTATTAAAAAAAAGATCATCGATTTCTTACCCAATTACTTTACTTTTTTAAAAAATGAACCAGTTCTTGTAGTTTTTTTGGTTCTTGTGATAAAGTATAATATAGTAAAAGAGGATATTTTGGACACCAATGACATTTCAAGGCCGATAACGGAATACTTCAATAAAACCAAGTTTTAGTGTAAATAACCACATATTTTTACTTGTGTGGCCATCTGCACATAACGATAAATATAGTTAACTTACTTTGTACAGTTAGCGTTAGAAGTACGAACAGTACATAATTGTTGAAATGGTAATGCTCTCGAAACAGCTGCATGATTGTTTACGGTAGATCATTACCTTGCATTAGAATTCAGAAAGGCGGTACCATGTGGCAATTCTTTGCACAACGCTTACAGGCCTGTAAGAAAAACAATGACAAAATTTTGTAGCATTTATGCATATGTCTTGTACGTATAAATAATCTTGTAAAAATATAATCTTACTTGTCGTATGTATCGGTACGTATATATATAGCACAGACTGCAAATGTACAGTTAATATACAGTTAGCGTACAGTTATCACACAGTAAATATACAGTAAAATGTACAGTAAATGTTCGCTACATTCAACATCCCGGCCAATTGGATCCCTCTCTTAGAAGTAAAGTAAAATAAAGTCGCATTCGTCTTGGAATTGCATCTTTGACTTTGAATTACATCTTTGAGTTACGTACCTGAATGCCGTATCTTAAAAGTTACGTCTTAAATTACATCTTAAAAAATTACATCTTAAAAGTACGCATTAAAATTACATTAAAATTACATCTTAAAAGTTGTATCCTAAACTTGCATCTTGAAGTTACAAAATAAATTTTTCAAAATGGCATCCTAAAAAAAAAAAAAAAATTTATAAAAACGATAATAAATCATTTACCAAGATTAAAATCGCAATTTTACTAAAAACGCACCTATGGTGCTTTACCACCTATGTTGTATTATCTCTAAGTAAAAAATGCTTTACACCCCACAAACCTTAAATCTAATCCTAAATATTAATTTAACATAGAAAATCTGTGTTAAAAATTTATATACAAAACTTATAAAAATTACAAAAAAAACATATAATAGGTGGTAAAACACTATAGGTGCGTTTTAGTAAAAATGTTAAAATTGTGTATTTCTTGTGCTTTTGCTAAAAATAGAAATGACTAACATTAAATATTTTGTGACGTATATTGTACTATATTAATATGTATTATGATAGATATGTTTCATTATCAATGTATATTTTTATCAAACCACAAAAATGTTTGGTTAATTTTAAAATAAAATAAATATTATAAAAATTTTTTTTTGATAGGATATGCAACTGCGAGAATCTTTGATGTGCTCAGATGAAAATCTCTTAGCCATAAATAAAACATGCTGTGATTCGTATTTCAAAAAATTCTTTTAACCTTGTATGGTTAAAAAAGTTAATGTTTATAGACCAGTCGTCAGCAAAAGACGGATCTAGGATAGATCTAGATACGGAAAAGATTTTTTAACTAACAATTTTTTATAATATTAAAACAGATGATACTTACTTTTTTAAAAAAAGTTTATCAGCAAAAACGTTTTACATAATATGTAATTGGTTAGAAATGGTTTTGTATTGGTTCTTTTTCAAGAATAGATCCCCTGATATTAAACCCAACATTGATAAACAAAGTTAATAATCCTATTTATTATGTAACAGTTCTACAATCGATGATTCGACCAGGTTCAAGTTCCTAAGTCAGATACCCAAAGGATATCGACTCTGATAAGTATTTAAAGAGAATGTTGCGAGCCCCATTGAAATCTCTATTTCATTGTGATTTTGCATGAAACGCAAGCGAATCTTTACTACACGTTTGACTAGGATCCTCTTCGCTACAAACGATCACGTTCTTATTATATTATTCTCTTGATTTATATTTTATAAACTCTCTAAAGTGATAATGATCCCATGTCAACATGACACGAGCCATTTTACTGTGAATCTTTCTATTCTTTCTTTTGAAATACCAATTAATATTGTTTCGTAATGATCCAGCAACCATTTTATCAGTTTATGGTGGATTTCATATATTAGATTTCTAATTTTTAATGCTATTTGGATTTTTTTTTCTCAAAAGATATCTGGTATGTTTACATCTATTACTTTTTTCTTGTGACTAAATCACTTTTGAATTTATCACACTATTTGCATAATCTAAACATCTTTCCAAAATCTCCATTACCTCATTCTACAATATAACATCTTAAATCATAATATATAGCAAAATGTTCTTACACCAGGATCAATACTTATTATCTGACCATTACAAGCAGGCCTACCGAATAATTGATTTAGGGGCAATTAATTGCAATTTTTCGAACTCAATTAATTGATTGGTGGCTCAGTCACAGTTGGTCAATTAATTGCAATTTTACGTAATTGGATCTCATATCATATATTTTGCCACTAATATTATTAATTACAGTGAATACATGTGATTTTTGATTTTTCGCTGTTTAAAAATCGAGTTACATCAGACAGCGCTTTACGCAGAAAATTGAATTTAATTGCAATTAATTGCAATTATTTCGTTATTAATGGGTTTCAATTAATTTCATGATAATTTTAATTGATTTTAATTGTATGATGTATGACAAAAATTATTTTTCGGTAGGTCTGATTACAAGGTGTTTGATTTTATAATCTTCTAACAAAACAAAAACATGAATATAATATTTTCTGAGTTTATCAAGTGTTATCTACAGTATTATTGATTTTAGATAATCCTTTTAAGAAAACAAGATATTTTAAAAATAAAAATTGTTTTTTCTTTTTGTTATAATCTTTTGTAAGCATTATTATAAACTGAATACTTTTTTTACTTCTATATTGCATTAAAACTCTTTTTTATAATTTGTTTTGTATTTAATATTTTTATTGTCTAATAACAAAAGAATATACTTCTTTTGAAGTATTAAATAACTAATACAATGAAGATTTTTTATATATTTATTATTTTAATAATATTATCTTATTGTTTT